ATACACACATAGACATAAATAAAAAGAATCAAATCAAATAAAATGCATTTCTTAGAATGGGTTCCTCGCTGGGCTAGGAATGAGGCTCAGTTGGCAGAGTGCTTGCCCAGCATGCACAGAGCCCTGGGTTCGATCCCCAGCACCCCATAAAAGGAACATGGTGCATGGTGTCATATTCCTGCAGTCTCAGCACTTGGGAGGTAGAGGTGGGAGGACCAGAAGTTCAAAGTCATCATTAAAAAAAAAAAAGGCGAGGGCTGGAGAGATGGCTTAGCTGCTATGAGCACATGCAGCTCCTGCAGAAGACTGAAGTTTGATTCCCAGCACCCAGACAGTGGCTCACAGCTCCCTGTGACTCCAGCTGGAGGGGATCAGATGCTCTCTTCTGACCTCTATGGGCACTAGGCATGCAGGTGGTGGACATACATACATGCAGACAAAACAGTCATACATATGAAAAAAACAAATTCAAAGGCAGGACTGTGTTGCACATAAGCAACTAACTCCCCCATCCCAGTATCTTATTACCACACAGCAGAATGTGTCTCCCAGGATGGAGTCCCATCCCAAAGCTTTTCCCCAAGTGTTTCTGATGGGCTTTGTGGAAGAGATCGCAGGGAAGCCAAGATGAGGGACGGTGGTGGTGGGTTCCCTCCTTCCAACAGGCAGGGAGTTCTCCTTGAGGGGAGAGGGGAAGAGAAGAGGTGGCAGAGGGCTAAACTCAGGTTGGAAGTGAGGCCTGAGCATCCCTGTTAGAATAGGGAATTTGGTTGTGGACTCAATGTACTCACAGCTATGAGCCTGCCCTGGGAAGGTCTCCGATTTGGGGTCAGAAGCCCTGAGCTGGATTCTGAGCTCTGGAACCACAATTGCTTTTTGTTTTTGTTTCTGTTTTGCAGCATGAGGGTGCCAGCTCCAACCTGAGCCTTAAGTGACCCCAAGGAAGCTGAAAATGTCTAAGCTCCAAGTGCCCATCTCTGGAAAATGAGGATACTAGGTACCACAGTGGCCATAAACACCATGACAGACAGCAGGAGCAATAGTATTTGCTCCATCCTTCTCAGAGAGGTCAAAGTGCGGCTTGAGCCAGTGCGTGCATGCGTGCGTGCGTGCGTTGCTCTTATGACTCAACTCACCATCATCTAGCATGTGGTCACTGCTGTCACTCATCCCAGACCTTTACTGAACTTCTGCTTTGCCCCAAGCACTGAGTTAGACCCTGCAGATCTGGTGATGAAAGATGCAAGGCATGTAAGAGGCTTGCCCTCACTCCACATTAGACCTCCAAGGCCTCTCATCAGTCCAGTTAGGCTATGCAGCAGGTGGGCTGCTTCTGTAGGTGTCGGGGTCATTATCCCCATCATTATTGCTGGGAATTAAGCGACTTGATTTTTACGACCCATCGACACATGTCACAGTGCTTGTCGTGGAAGGAGCACTCAATAATGGTTGGCTCTTTGAAAGTGCCCTTGAGGTCACTGCTCTCTGAAAGACTTGGTCGCTGTCTAAGACACCTCCCTCTGCTGATGCTGGCTAATAGCTAAGACATTTCCACACCTGGCTTCCTTTGCCATGGACCTCTTGGGACTGTAACTTTTGTTCCACTCCAGCTGTGAGCATGCACCAAGTCTTCCTACTTCACACCGTGTTTGCCCCAGGGTGGTAGGCCTGGCTCAGCTGCCAGACACTCCTACCGTGCAGGTGCCATAAAAGAGACTGTCTGCTCTTATCCAGTCAGCAGAAATCCCCTCACGGCTTCAACTGAAAGGCGACGGCAAATGCCTGACACGACCTGGAGGACCAGGGTCCAGAGGCTGGACAGCCCAGAGACCTAGGATGGAGCCAAACATGACTGGCAAAAAAAGAAAAAAGAGGAAAAAGAAAGAAAGGGAAGGAGGGAGGGAGGGAGAGAGGGAGGGAGGGAGGGAGGGAGGAAAGAGAGAGAGAGAGAGAGAGAGAGAGAGAGAGAGAGAGAAAGAAAGAAAGAAAAGAAAAAAGTCAATGAAATGATTCCTAATGATATCCTGCTAGCCTCATACATCGGTGCCTAGGCAGTTATCAGAGAGGCTTCATCCAGCAAGTCACGGGAACAGATGCAGAGACCCACTTCTAAATATCAGTCAGAGCTTGGGGAACCCTGAGGAAGAGAGGGAGGAAGGATTTTCAGGAGCCGGGGGTCAAGGACACCACAAGAACATGGCCCACAGAATCAACTAAGCAGGACTCATAGGGGCTCACAGAGACTGAGGTGACAATCATAGAGCCTCTATGGGTCCGACCTAGTTCTCTGCATAAATGTTGTGGTTGTGTAGCTTGGTGTTCTTATGGGACTCCTTACAGTGGAAGTGGGGGCTGTCTCTGACTCTTGTGTCTGCTTTTGGACCCTTTTCCATCTGCCGGGTTGCCTTGTCCAGCCTTGATATGAAGGTGTGTGTCTAGTCTTATGGTTTGTGTCTAATCTTATTGTAACTTGTTATGCCATGTTTGGTTGATATCACGGGGTGACCTGCTCCTTTCTGAAGGGAATTTGAGGAGAAGTGGATCTTGGGGAGAGAAGAAATGGGGGAGAGGAACTTGAGGAGAGGAAGGAGGGTATGTAATGTATGAGAGAAGAAAAAAAATTAACTAAAAAATATTAACACAGAGAGAGAGAGAAAGAGAGAGAGAGGAGGAGGAGGAGGAGGAGGAGGAGGAGGAGGAGGAGGAGGAGGAGGAGGAGGAGGATGGCAAGGGGTCATTCTTGGCTACATAGAGAGTTCAAGTCCAGCCTGGGCTACATAAGGTCTGGGCAGCTTCAACAACAAAAATGAGTGGGGCTGGATGCGGTAGCTCAGGCCTTAATCCCAGCACTTGAGAGGCAAAGAGACAGGAGGATCTCTGTGAGTTCCAGGCTAGCCTGGTCTGCAGAGTGAGTTCCAGGACAGTCAGGACTAAATCGAGAGACCCTGTCTCAAAAACAAAACAAAACAAACAAACAAACCCACGATAACAACAAATGAGTGCATTCATGGTTCTGGAGACCGAAGTTCAAAGTTGGGGGATGGGCTGTGAAGATTCTTTCTTGGGGCGCCATGTCTCCTTCCTAGTAGAGACAGCTAACAACCCTAAGCATTTCTTGGTGTGATGGCTAGTCTTGCTTGTCAACCTGACTATATTTGGAATCAACTAAAACCTGAGCAGGTGGGCACTCTGTGAGTCTTCCCCCCCCCCTTTCCTTGACTAGATCATTTGCGGTGGGAAAACTCACCTTAAATCCAGGCCACACCTTCCGACTGCAGCCCACACGAAAGAACTTGGAAAACGGAAGCTTTTGCTTTTTGCCTGTTTGCTCTCACTCTTGCCGGGAAGGTCATCTATCCTGTTGCTAAGGCATTCCTTCAACGGTATGAGAACCTATTTCTTCAGCAAATCAAGGCAGGCTGAAGACCAGCGGCTTTCTAGGAATCCTTGAGTACTCTAGCACCAGATTGGAAGAGCGGAGACATCCAGTCTCGTGATCTGAACTATTACTGGATTCTTGGTGTCCCCTTTGGGAGACAGCCGTTGTTAGACTGGGATAAACCCCCTTTGTGTATGTGGGGGTTTGAATAAGAATGACTCCATAGGTTTATATATTTGAAGAGTTGGTCCCTACAGGGTGAACTGTTCGGGGAATGATTGGGAGGTGTGGCCTTGTTGGAAAAGGTGAACCACTGGGGGTGGACTTCGAGGTTTCAAAACCCCATACCATTCCCAGTCTTTAACTCTGCCTCATGCTTGTGGCTCGGATGTAAGCTCTCAGCTACTGTCCAGAGTCATGCCTGCTTGCTAGCTGTCAAGCTCCTTATCATGATCCGTGATGGTTATAAACTTGCCCTCTGAAGCTGTAGGCAAGCCCCCGATTAAATGCTTCCTTTTATACGTTGCCTTGGTCATGGTGTCTCTTCACATACTCACAGCAATAACACAGTAACTAAGAATATATATATTATATATATACATATACATATATATATGTGTGTGTATACATAGACATATATATTCATTCTATCCATTCTGTTCTTTTAGAGAACCCTAACACTTGGCTTATAGGATACATTGTTGCATTTTTCACTTCCACCTTCACCTGACTATCTCCTTCTTTATCTCTGTGTCTTCATATAACATTCACTTTTCCTTCCAGGGGCCAGGCATTAGTCACCATGCCTGATCCCACCCCCAAAATTTGCATGAATTGGGTCAGAGCATGATGGGAAGATATCCTCTCATTGGCCATCCCTCTCTGGACCCCTAAAATGCCCCCAAAAGTACTATCTCCAAATATATTCTAACTATTTTTTAAAAGTTTCTGTTTCCAAATTCTACAAAGGCAGAGAGCATTAGTAATTAATGCTTATCATAAGTGATCCATCAGTCTTCAGGACAATTTATAAGACGATGTAATTTTTTATGTGCAGCATGTTCATTTCATGGCCCTCTGTGTAATCAGTATGAGCCCTACATTTCTGTGCATTTTTAAAAAGCATCAGACACACATTTATTACTTTAAGTGACGATAAAGGTTTATAGTCCTTGGCTCCTGTGCCATCCCCAGTCATGCCTGAGCTTCTCGTGCCAAGTTCTTCCTGCAGAAGGCAACCTTAACGGCAGCGTTATTTTTATGGAGAAGACATGAGCTGCTTCACAATGGTTCAGTTTCCAGGGACACCAAGTAGAGAAGAACAATGCATTCTCCTTTAAAACTTAGGGCTGTGGTGGGGCTTTTTTTTTTTTTTTTTTTTTTTTTTTTTTTTGAGACAGGGTCTCATTGTGTAACTAGCTGGCTGGGAACTTGCTATGCAGACCAGGCTGGCCTTGAACTCTCAGAGATCCACCTGCTTCTGTCTCCCAAGTGCTAGAATTAAAAGTATGTGCTTATCTCAATAAATAAATCAATAAAATATAAAATAAAATGGGGTTAGAGTTGTTCAAGAGCCTCCCCAAACACGTTGAGGTACTGCTGTTCCCTGTTGCTCTCTGAGATGGAAGGTAAGTCTCTACTGCTGAAGACATCATGCACTTTGGACACAAGACCCAGGGCATCTGAGCTGGATCTGACCCAAAAGCCTCCTCTTTGAGGACTAGCTTTCGTGGTTCCAGAAGCTGCCATGTAAGTTTCCTAAGGAGGGAAGCAACTGGCAGTTCTACCCAGCTCTGGTGCCTATGAACCACGACAATGACCAGCACAGCACAATATCCTACAGGTGTAGTAGTGGCAAGCATACCTTGGCAGTAACCAACAGCTCTCTTCTTGGATTTAAGACCCTCTCGATGAGAGGAAAATCATGCCAGGTTTTGCAAACTTAGCCAACTCCCCAGACTTAGTGAAGTCATGGATCTTGGAGGAGAACCGACAACAGCTGCTTTACCAAACCGGCATCATCCTAGCTACGTTCTCAATATTTATTCTCATACCCATAGGTAAGTGTAGTCCTTGCCTCTCGTCAAAGAAATTTCTCTTTGACTTAGAGATACAGAAAACCACCGCTGATCAAAATGGAGCCCAGTTGCAACATAATAAAGCTACGGCCCAACTCCGGCCTCCAAGGCTCAGGGGTCATTTTGAAAAAGGGGTCAGACAGATTGTAAGAGCTAGAGGAAAAGGAAGTTTGCTGTGAGATGGTGTCTCCTAGTATGTCAGAGAAGCTACATCCATGAGGTCTCACCAACAGGGCTACCCAAAAATGACTTGAACAAGGATAACATCAACGGACATTCTAACACGGAAGGGGGAATGCTCATACGGCCTCAACTGTAGACGAATAACTACAGATGGATAACGAATGCTGAGAGCAGGGGAGATGGTCTTCCCCAAGGAAGAGTACACCAACTGGTTATCCATTCCCAAATGGCCAGCTCTGAAAACATATACACACTTAGCAGGTTGTATTTTTTTATATTTAGAAAAACATACACAGAGAGAGAAAGGGAGGGAGAGAGAGAGAGACAGAGAGACACACACAGAGAGACAGAGAGAGACACACACACACACACACAGAGCAACAATTAAAGAAAAAGAGATCATGAATTTGAAAGAGAACGAAGATGATAGGTGGATGGGAGGGGTTGCAGAGAGGAAAAGGAAGGGAGAAATGATGTAGTTTTGTTATAATCTCAATTATAATTAACTGAAAAGTTAAATGGAAGCTGAAGAGACAGGTCAGTGGTTAAGTGCATGTACTGCTCTTATATAAGATCCAATTTCAACTCCAGCATCCACATTGGATGGCTCATAACCTCCTATGATTCTAGCTCCAAGGGAATCCACACTCCAAGGGAATCCACACCTCTGGCCTCCATGGGTGCCTTACTCAAATGCACATAACCTCATGGAGACACACATGCATTAAATATTAAAAAAAATAAATGAAGGAGGGCATCTATTATTAAAAACAAAACAAATTCACACCATCGCACTCCGCCCCTTTGATCCCTTGCCCATCCTCTGACCAGGCCACTGCTGCAGCGTCTGCATATACACAAAAGTAATAAAAGTACATAAATGTATTCAAACAACCAAACAGAAGACATTATAATCATTAGGTCCAATGTGATGGTACACTCCGGTACTGTCAGCACTTGGAAAGGAGAAACAGGAGATCAGGAGTTCAAGGCCATCCTTGGATACATAATGAGTTCAAGACGAACCTGGGCTGCGCTGCATGAGATTCTTCTACCTGGAAACCCATGTTCCCCTCCACCCTACCCCCAACCCCCAGAAACACTGAGGAGTTACAGGAGGGAAGGAAGCTGCTGAGCTCGTCATGTCAAACTGGGTCTGGGTCTGCGAATGTGCAGGCACCATGCAGAAGGAGGGGGTCTTAGAGGCCTCTTTCTTGGACACAAATCCATAGGCTGAAGCTGTATATTCGGCTGTGGCATAGACAGAGCAGTCTCTCCACCTTGCAGGAGGCCACTTTTAGAAAAGTAAAGACTCCTTTGGTTAGATGAAGGGTGACTTTTTGTTTTTTTGAGACAGGGTTTCAAAACACAGGGTTTCTCTGTGTAGCTTTGGCTGCCCTGGAACTTTTGCTGTAGACCAGGCTAGCCTCCAACTCAGAGATCCATCTGCTTCTGCCTCCTGAGTGCTGGGATTAAAGGTGTGTACTACCACTGCCTGGCCAAGTGACATCTTAATTCATGTTTCAGGTTTTCTTCTGAGCAGTCTAAACTCCTTTGACAGAAGAACTAGTTGAGTCAGAGGGACTAAGATGCTTCTGAAGAGGTGAAGGGACTGTAAAAATGCACCTGTCCGACATACCCTGGGCCTTGTTGGAGACTGTAGCTGTGTCCAAGACATGAGTACAGGGTTCATTGTAAACAGCTTATAGGAGGAGATTATGAATTCTTCCCCAAGCTGGGCCTGGTGGTACAAACATGTAGTCCAAGCTACTTGTGGGGCTGAGTCAGGAGGATCACAAGTTAAGGCCTGTCTGAGCTACAGAGTGAATTTGATGCCAGTCTGGGTACCTTAAAGAGACCCTGCCTCAAAGGGCTGGAGATATAGTCAGTATATATATAGTTTTTATATGTATGTATGTATGTATGTATATTTGTATATATATATAAATACAATATAGTCAGTATATATAGTTTGTATAAATGTATACATATATATATATATATATATGTATGTATATATAAATACAAAGGTCTGGAGATATAGCCAGTATATAGTTTGTGTGTGTGTGTGTATAGTCAATATATATAGTTTCTATATATTTGTATATATATAAATACAAAGGGCTGGAAATGAAGTCAGTGGTAGAGTGATTGCCTATCCTGTGTAAGACCCTGGCTTCAATCCCCAGTGTCGTAATTAAATAAATAAAATCCTCTCTTAATTAGAAGGTTAAGGTTAGAAGAGGACAGAACTCAGGACCTCAGATACTCCAGGCAAGGGCCGTGCCACCAATCACATTGCCCAGCTTGAGCCAACATTCTTGATCGACCCTAGGACGTCAGAGGGTAGGACCATCCCTAACGTTGAAACCATTCCCCCTAGTCAGTGTTAGGAAGCCACGAGTGTGGGGCCCATGAGAGACTAGGGTAAGATGTAAGTATTTGTTTGGACATATGTGATCACTACAAAGGAAGCTGTATTCTTCAAGCTTCTTCATCAGCTTTGCTTCGGAGTTTAGAACTGTGCCTGAACGGTAGTTAGGGCAGATACTTCCTGTTTCACAGATAAGGAGTTAACACTCAGCTTGTTAACATTAGCTTCCTGATACCATGAGCAATTGAACAGCAGGGCAAAGATGAGAAACTACAGCAGTGCTTCTCAACCCTCCTAATGCTGTGACCCCTTAATACAGCTCCTCACGTTGTGCTGACCCCCAACCAGAAGACTGCTTTCATTGCTACTTCGTAACTGTAATTTTGCTACTGTTACAAATTGTAATGTAAATATTTTTGGAGATAGAGGTTAGCCCAAACAGGTCGTGACCCACAGGTTGAGAACCACTGAACTAGATTTTTTTTTTTTTTTTTACCCTTTAAATTACCTGTGGAAAGTTGTTCACTTTCCTAGCTGCTGTTAACTGAGCGCCTCCGAAGGCTAGGTAGGCAACATGTAGGTCTGAACCCAGGGGCATGGCTGTAGCCTCATAGAACTTTGGGTACATCGGGAAGAACAGCACTGAACAGAGAAAGACTAAAAATGCATATACAGACTATAGTGTGTGTGTGTGTGGGGGGGACGACCAGAGGGAGACCCCTAAACTCTGGCACTCTAGGCTGTGTTTTTATTCTAGTGCACTCATTTATTCTTCAGTGGTAGGACTTGAACCCAGGGCCTCACAAGTGCTAGGCAAGAGCACCATGGAATGTCAGCTCCTGCCCAGATTTGTGCTTTCATTCAAAAGCCTGATTGTCGGGATTCTTCCCAACTCAAAAATTCTGGAATTTCCTACTTTGCCTCTGCAAAAAGCCTCTCTATGACAGTGGGGTGTGTGTGTGTGTGTGTGTGTGTGTGTGTGTGTGTGTGTGTGTGTGTGTGGTGGAGAGACAGAGAAGGACATTTCCTTGTCCTCTTTGGCTGCGACTTGACTCCCCTAGCCACGGCTCAGACTCTTCCTGCTCAAAGGCAGCTCCTGCAGCCAGTTGTATGCCTGACTATGCAAATGTTATCAAAATGTCCGGGCGACATGGGGAAGAACAGTGCCCCAGAGATTAGTGAAGTCATGGGAACCTCCAGTGCTCAGGCCAGCCGCGACCACCGCTGTCCATTTGTCTGTCTGGCCAGTGTATTTACCTTCGTGGTCTGCAGTCCCATGCTCAGGGCTGCTCCAGCTGTCCCCATCCTTATCTCCATAGCCAGGGACGAGGACACCTGAGCTAGAGACTTGAAATGAAACGTGTAGCTCAAGACACATGTCACACTGGAGCTTCAAAACCCTGGATGCTGCCTGTCAAGTTACCAGGAAGACGGGAAGGAAAAAACCCTTAACAAATCCCAACCAAGTGGGACAGTTTGGAAGATCCATGGGATAGTGAATGGGAAGGGCCAAGAGCTACAGGATGAAACCATATGGCTGCTGTGGTCATTCTGATATCTGCAGGTAGAGGAAGATGTAAACGATGGTATGAGTCATTAAGCTTTTCTGTTACATTTATTTGTTTATGGGGGGGCACGCACTCTACAGGACATGTGTGGAAGAGTACAACTTGTAGGAGTCAATTCCCTTCCGCCATGAGGGTCCCAGGGATTGAACTCAGGTCATCAGTCTCGGCAGCAAGTGCCTTTATCTACTAAGCCATCTCAATGGCCTGGGATCCTGGGATGCGATGCTAAGCTTGTGCATGTGTTTGGCTTAACCACAGCTAGCATGGTCTCCCTCGTGCATATTATAGAGTGAAGATGGTTCAGTAATTGAAAACCCCATGCGCTTTTTATTCAAGTCAAGTGGGTTTGGGGATCCAGGGCAGTGTGGCTGTGACAGCGGGCAATGCAGCTGTGTGGGTGAAGCAGTTGTTTCCTTGAATGGAGAACAGCACCTACGGTCGGCTTCGTCTGCACATGCAGTTTGGATTACTCCTAAGGGTGGATATTTCAACTTTTAACTGTGTTTATGAGACTCCGCAGGCAAAATTATAGCACAATAAATATCATTTTGTAGTTACACGCCATGACCTCACTCTCTGAATAGTGAGTGGTTTAGGAAGGAAGCTGGCAGGGTTAAATTAACCCTGACTCTACTTCTTAACAGCTGTGCGACTTTAATTTAATTCCCCCAAGAGCCTCAAAATCCTTCCCAGAACTCGGGATTAATAACAGCACCTGCTTCACAGATTGGTCCTGAGGATTCAGTGTGGCCGCTTGGGTTTTAATCCGGCTCAGCACTGACCATACAGTGAGGACTGATACACTCCAGCTGTTAGGGTTTGAAGATGAAGTATCTCACAGGACACATGGTTGAACG